TGATTTGGAGGATGTTTTCTGATTTATTTCTGCCTCCTCCGATGTGAGAATTTGCTGCTTCTCTCTATTTTATATCACTGCTAAAAAAATCACATCACATTTAAACATTTTCCTAATTCCATGACATTTCTGTTAATCAACCTACAAACGAATTAAAAGATAAATTGTTACTGAAAATTGCTTTTGCATATCAAAAACAATTCGAGGTCAAGTACTGTGAATTATTTTTTATAAGGACATGACAGCACACAATCAAAACCACAATTTAAGTCAAAAGATTGTTTACAAATCATAATATATTGCAAAAAATCTAATCATATTGGGTTACTTGACTGAAATTAATCAGCTACAATTAAAGCTGCACATTATTCATAAAACGAGTTCACTCGACCCAACAAGTTAGAGACCATGCAAATGAACCTTACTGTCTAACTTGAGATCAACCTTACAGTGAAGCAGTAGGGCCTCCTCGTCAAGTTCTTTTTAAAAGTATGAAAAAAGTCAAAGTTCGGACTCTAGGAGGAGATTCTCATCTGCATTTCAAAGATCTTGACACAAACGACTTGTACAGAGATAAATGAAGGTAGCAATAGTGACTGCATATGATATACTGTACATATCAGTGCCATAAATGACGTTTCAAAAATAGTTTTTATCAAAAAATTCGTAATTCAGATCTTTTTACACAAAACAAATATTTTTTCTGTAGCTTATACAAGGACACTTATGGCCAGGTTACTGACAAGAGTTAATTAAAAAGGAAAAAAAATACCATAGTACAGCTCATATAGTTAATGGGATACAATTTACCGAAGCAGAATCACTCATCTGCACTGTGCTTTCAATAATTGCTTACAATGAAATGAGTAGCTAGTGGATTATTTAAACCACAAAACTTATTATTGAACTACACTCCACCCAAAATTTATTTTAACTGACATGATTTCAGCCGTTAAGGTTAAATATTTGATTTAAAAAAAGAGAAAACAAATGGTTTCAGGTGGATTATTACATTAAAACCAAATAAACATTTTCTAGGGGTAGGGGCTTTTCATTACCAACAGTTGTATACAGTAAATCCCATCATAATGCACAATCAACTGCATTAACTTACAAAAAAAAAATCTTCTGATAACAGTGGTCAGATATACTGTATATATACATACACACCTCAGAAAGCCACATCGTGTCAGCAAGTGAAATGATTCGTTGTTGAATGTAAGTAATGCTGGAAAACAAATTAATGTGCCTTCCACTGACAAAAAGTGTCTCTTGCACAAGACCTGTCACTCTATAGACACAAACGATCTAACAGTACTTCTCAGAACATAATAATATACAATGTATTTACAGCAGAATATTTTCTATAAATTCTAGTGGGAATGATCAATGATTAAAAAATAAAGTGTTCGATGATTAACATGGGTGCCGTCTGTCCCTGATTGTCAGTAGAGTTGTAACAAGAGGGAGTTTAACATCAATTTTCAAACCTAATTTGATGCCGCATATAAAAACAGTGTTTTACACAATAGCACCTAAGACATCACACATACATGTACACACGGAAAACAAGTGATGAAGCAGAGAGGAGACCTCACTCAATTGCATTTTCTTCAACAAGGCCTGGACAGATGTGGCTTACTAATGATTTCTAGCAAGTAGGTGATATCAAAGTTATCAAAACTACAGATATCTGGAACATGATTCTGTACTCATATACACATATTGCAGCAGTCAATGAAAATACCATTTCCTTCTTAAACTTGGTGCTATTTCTTGATACAATTCTAAATAAAATGGGCAAAAAATTAAATAAAGCTCCCAGATCTCAACGTATTACAGACTGAATAGGTTGATAGCTTATGTGTTTTGTTATTATTGTGCAAGTGGAATTAGTAGCCTTAGAGTGCTGACTGAGAAAAAAGAAATACATATACAGGAATGAGTAAAAAAAAAAAGAAAAAGAAAGAAAAGAAGGCACAGATGCAAAACTAATAAAACTGGAAAAACCAAGCACCTCATTTCCACATGTACTATAATTCATAATATAGCCTTAATCAAACTTTGACTTTCAATCAATACAAGGGGGTCTAATCACATTGTTGTTTCCCCAAAACCTGTGCATCTTCCAAGAAGAACAACAATCAAAGTACTGTAAAACTGCAGCTACAGGAGCTACATCATAAGTGACGAAAGCCAAGAGCATTATCTGTAGTTTCACATTACCTAAATCTTACACGAGGGTCAGTCTAAGAAATCTGATTTAACAAAAAGTTGCCTTTTTAAGTGAAGGTATTTTTCTCCACTGTGAAAGTACATACTACATTCCCTGTAGTGAAAATGTGCAAATTGTGCAGAAATGAAGCACAATCTTCTTAAGTAATTTCACTACAACTCACCAATACTTCTGAAGGAGAGTAAGAATTATCCTGCAACTATTACATGTGTGCAGCTATTTGATACCCACATCTTTTTTTCCTTTTGGGGGGGGGGGCTATTAAAACTTTAAATCTAATAGAGCCCAGCCTTTTTATTACACAGCCTACCATGCACTAGAGTCAATTTTGTACAAAAACAGTGCCAAGAGATTCAAAGGGAATACATTAATCCACACAATGTAATACAATTTATGAATTAGAATTTTTCCTTTTTTTTTTTTTTTCCACCAACCAAATTAGGCCCAATCTGTCAATGGAAAAATCAGAAAAACACAATCGGTTCAATCTTTCCTGTAGCATTCATTACACAGGTAGAAACACCCATTTCAGGTGACAGTAAAGTGACTTCAACATAAAGTGAAGAATCAATTATGACCTAATCATGGTGTCGTTTTCAGCTGGAATAAAAAGGAGTGAACTTTAACTAACCAGATAAACAGCGAGTGGAGGTAGATGCAGTAAGAGCAAAAAGGCATATATATATATATAAATAGGGGTCTATATCTTAATAAGTGGAAATGTTGCTTTAAGCAGCGAGAGCGACGTAATTTTTTGTGCAAGGCAAACTGATTGACAAAACATAAACTCTACGGCAAAGGTAGGAAAGAATATTTCACTCTCTCTCTTGCATTACACTTTGGTCGCTTAATTTACATTCTAGAGCAAGAAATATACTAATAACAAATAGTTAGTTTTTTTTAAAGGGGAAATGCTAATTATGATTGATACGTTTTCAGTATTCCCGTTCTATGAGGTTGCGCTTAAAAAAAAACAAAAAAAACCCACGACATTAGTATGTTTTTTTAACAAGATGTTTTGAGAAAGAGCACATAGTTGCAATGGGACTTGTTTTGGCAAAACAGGAGACATGAGATAAAGTGCTGCTGCGAAATTATAAACAGAAATGAATACCCCCTCCCCCCCACCCCTTCAGCCAAAGGTTTCACTGGATGAAACATCAGGGGAGGAGTTCAATTGAGACCTGGTCTCAGTGACTCTGACTAAAGGGAACTCTGAGAAGTCTGTGCTGTGTCCTCTGAGACTTAATTGTCCATTGGCAACAGTAAACTGTGAAGAGGATCCAGACCTCGATGCCTGGAAATGAGATTTGAAGTTCTGATCGAAGGAGCTTATCTGAAAAGTCTGCAGTATGCCTTGCGAAGAGTCTGTCTTTTTGGAGGGCGAGACTTGCTCCAGAAAGTCCTCCTCAGCTGGGGACACTGCGGAGGGAGGGGTGGTCTCATCACCTGAAAATGAAAATGAGTGCTGGGAGTCCCCGACCAGTAATCCAAAGTGAGGTTTCTCTAAAGTGGACCTTAGCGGAGAGCTCATCCCTGATTTGAACCTGCTGGGGGAAGGAAACTGTTTCTCGGTGGAGAACAGAGGTTGTCCAGCTAAGGTGGGGTTTTCGGAGACCAGGCTGAGGCTTTGACTGGTCAGGTAGCTGTCGTTCTGGCTGGTCCTCTCCAGTGCTTGCTGGAGAAACTTGGAGTACTCTTGCAAGAGGCTGACCTTCTCGGTAGCTGGCTGAGCCTGGGCACTAGAGGCTCCCATATTCTCCACCGGGCTGCTGTCTGACACATCAGAGGAATTAATAGATATGCTTGACGTCACCTCTGTGTCAGCCACACTGAAGGAAATGTCGGATTGCCCGTTGGCTTTGTTGGAGTAGTGATCCAACAGCGTCTGAAGGACCTCGTCTGGCAGCACGTTCTTGTCATGTGACGCTTTAATTTCCGCGTTGATGGGCTGGGGCTCCAGGATGGTGGCGGGGACAGTTTCGTCGATGACGGTCGACACCACAGTCTGCGTGACAGGCGGCTGAGAAGAAATGCTGCTCGTGTTCAGGTTGTAATCCCGAGTGTTGTTGGCCATTGCTGCCTGAAGATAACGCTTCTTCTTGACAAACTGCATGGCGTCGTCGTAGTTTGTGCTGCTGGCTGCTGGCTTTGCTGGTCCTCCTTGAAGAGTCTCAACTGACTCGAGTTCAGTGTTGCTTTCTACGTCTAAAAGGCCTTGCTTGTCCACGATTTCAAAGGTGTACTGCGTGACCTTAGTATTTTCCTCAAAGGAAGACAAAGTGGACAGGCAGGGGGGGGTCTGCTCATTGGACTGTTTAAGACTCCTCTTAGGGACTTTCTTCAGAACTAGTTTTGGAGGAGTTGTGTCTTCTGATGATACTTCTCCCTCTTGGTGTTGGCTACCCGTTTCTTCAGCAAGTTCCACAGAGTAGCCTGCGATCACATACTCGTGTTTTACTTTGGAGGACACAGCATAGAGAGGTAGACCGTCAATTTTATTCTGTCTCTGCTCGTCCTTCTCCTCCGTTTCTACGACAGTGACAGTGTGCCCTTCTGTCTGGGGAGCAGTGGAAGCGCCTGAACTCTTGTCTGCACACTTTTGGCGCTTTTTCTTGGGCAGTGAGCACTCTTTGGCGAGAAAGGGGAGGCCTAAAGAATCGGCTTCACGCAAAGGCCCAACTTTACCAGCTGCCTTGTTGGCCTTTCTCTCTCTGTTCTCGTGACACATTCGTCTGTGCTTTAAGACCCGGTCTGTTCTGGAGAAGTACTGTGGATAGAGGACAAAATACATTTATTCTACTGTACTCATACCCAATTCGGCTAGTATTTCTAACCGTTCACTCTGTATGTTCTGTGTTTACATCCTGACACATATAAAGACCACTAATATGAGCACCACTTCTTAATACCTGTTTTTCCACTATATTCAATAGACCTTTTTTACAGGAGCCATTTTGACATGAAAATAGTACGCTAAACACAGGTGTTACCAATGGTACTAATTAAGGTTACGTTCCATTCAGATCAAACAGAGCCAGGGTGCTGCTATTGTGCATGTTGGCTCAAGGAAAAACCTTGGCTACACTTAATGTGACGGAACCTTAATTAGTATTGTTGGTACCACCTGCGATTACCCTACATAGAGAGCGTATTACTCAAGTTTTAGAGCACAGAAGATCCAGCCCCTAGTTATATTGCCGACCATTTAACTCTTTATGAGCCAGAACGCAGCCTTAGATCCTCAGATTGGGCGCCCGAGGAAATGTATGTATATTTACACAATATTTCCTGTGTATCCTAGTGATTTATTCTTATAACAATAATAATTCTTTCATTATTTTAACACACAATGCTATGTATTATTACGCTATTATGCTATGTGTTCTTTTTTAATCTCTTTTTAACAGTACATCTGATTGTTGGTGTGTTTATGGTTGTATCTGTTTACCTCATTTATTGCTGTTATGCTTCATTGCTGCTGTTTTCGTGTGTATAGAAAGCACTTTGTAAACATTGTTTTTTAAAAAGTGCTAAAGAAATAAAGTTATTACTATTTGATGTCGAAATGGCTGCTATGACAAAGGTCTATTGTCTCACTGCTTCCAGATGCCCTAATAACAAGCTAGCAAACTAGCAAACAAAAGCTTACCTGGTGACAGTAGTCACATTGGTAGGGCTTCTCTCCACTGTGAGTCCTTTTGTGTCTCTCCATGTGGTACTTCTGGATGAACCTCATCCCACACTCATCACAACGAAAGGGCTTTTCACCTAAACAAAAAGACAAGAAAAGGAAAGAAGAAAAAGACAAGTTGACTCACTTGAGATTAAAACGACACATCAAATCCAACTGCATGCTGACTGCGTTCATTCTTCACTCACCAGTGTGGATTTTCTCGTGTCTCTGGAGAAGATATTTCTGAATGAAGCGCATATCACACTGGCTGCACTGAAATGGCTTCTCACCTGGAGTTTGAATAATACACATAAATACTATTAGATAAATAACAACCAGCATCCACTGTCAACATTTCAGAGCAATTATTCTAAATACAATAGCATTTTCAAACATGACTGAGTGATTCATACCAGTGTGAATGAAGACGTGCCTCTGTAGATGGTAGTTGGTTCTGAATGCAGCATTGCAGTGCACACAGACGTGACACTTGGGGTTTTGTATGCCCAATGATCCATCATCATTGATGCTGAGAATCTACAACAGCAAAGGGAACAAAGACAAATACTAGTGTTATTCTACTCCAACAGCCGTCACTGTGGAAGATTCTCACACACAAGCAATAGAAAAAAAGTGATTTCTAAAATAAAACTGACTTGCACCTTCGCTGGCGAACGCTGCTTTCTTTTTTTCTTCTTGGGACACACCATCAGGTCTTTAACTCCTTTTTTGTCCTTCTTTATCTGGGCCGATGGCTCAGACTGCTTCAGTTCCTGCTTGATGCTCAACTGTAAAAGTAGGACCATAGATAGGCAAGACATTTAACAAGGCACATGACCTACTTTAAAGCCCACCCACACATCCAGCAGCTTATTCGGGTCAGACAGGTGCAATAGGGCAAGCAGAGGATAATCTACCAATGTGAGGGGACCTCACCATGAAGCAGCTGCTTCCCTACAGTCTAAGAAGCCAGTTGATGTGGTTCAAGCATCCTCTGAGGATGACCCCCTGCTGAAGGCAAAATACATCAGAGAAAAACCTCAGGCCCTAGAAAGTCTTCCAGCTTGCCTGGGAGCATCTCCAGATCTCACATCTGTCATATTTTAAATTATGCTGCCACATTCTAAGAATTAGAGTACAAAGTTTTTCTTACAGGCAGAAAGTTATAATAAACAGGACGTGTTTTTTACGCAAGCCTGATTCTGTGGCTCAGTTCAGGTTATCCTTGATGTTTACACTCAGAGTAAGAGGTAGTCTTTTGAATTCACACACGCTGTGTCTTTATTCTTTTGTAATGCAAAAGATTTAAAAGCACATTTCAGCTAATGCCTTTCTCACTGTGAAAGCTAATGGCTTTTGTATTCTGAGTGCGAACCGGTTGCACAAGTGTGAGTGAGGCGATCCCTTATAACAGCATATTACCCTCAGTGTTAAAGAATGTTATTATCAATGATGTTCTGTGGGGCTTTCTACTTCTAATATGTATGTCATACGCTTTATATCACGTTCCTTAACTACAATGTTAAATACAGTTTTCCATTTCAGACCACTTTTTTTACGTAAAACTTTGGCATTGTGTTGCAAACCGGCACTAAGCCAGCTCATGAGTATCAACCGTAGTTAAGTGGGCCGAGGGTGGTTTTCATATATGTGTCAATACCTCTGTAAATCCTCAGTGCTGCAAGACCTGATGTCCTTGCATGAGGTGACATGAAAGGAAACTCACTATGAGGGCAGAGAGACTGTACGTACAGTATCCACACAAATAATCTTATCTAAACATGGACTCCTTTCTTAACTCACTGGCATATGAAGCAAGCAGGGAAACTTATTGGTGAGTTTTAGGGGGAAATGCACTCCCACCTCGCCTCCTCCCTCCTCTTCTCCTCCTCCTCCTCCTCCTCCTCCTCCTCCCCCTCCACCATTCTTTGTCATCTCCTCCTGCATCATCAGCTGCTCCGGAGGGACCAGGTCGTGTGTCACCAGCGAGCTCCCAGTCAAGTCCTCGTCCTCGTCTTCGTCGTCATCGTCCTCGGCCAGCAGAGGGTGGTTCGCCAGCGACCGCTCCCCCAGAGTCATCACCACCAGTCCTCCGCCGCTGACCAGCCCGACCCTCCCTCCTCCATCTATTCCTCCGCTGCTGCACTTCAGCAGCATACCCTCCAGCTTGTCCTCAGTGTTCATCTTACATAGAGTAGTTCTTGAGTCTGCAAAAAAAGAGAGGAAGAGAGGGATGACTGGACAATGTGAGGCCGGGGACAACGAAAGTCAAAGTCGCTGTGTTTCTTGTTGTAAAGATAGCAAAGATGGGGGAGTCAAAGATGCAACTAGGATGATAAGCACACTGCAAATTGTGATGGTTACTTAATACTTTAATGTGCAAAGGTCACTTTTTAAATTCCTGGCATCACAAAACCTAAAGGCACAGGTACCCACGTTGGTTATAAACCCGGGCAGAGCAAGTCAACAACACTAGCTCTACTCTAGTCGACGTGCATCCCTCCAACCCCATGAAAGTGGTCTTTAAGGTCTCATCCTGTTAAAATATAAATACACGTATCCCCGTTCACTCACTCTCACGCTGCACATACAGTACTAGCTCTCAGAATATGGCTTGTAATCTTACAAAAAAAGTTGTAAAGACTTCCACATCTATCGTCATGGCCCAAACAATGCCTCTTCTCAGTGAAGTGTCAACTTTTTGTATCTGGGTCAGCTGCTGTTTCTGTAATCTTATCTTACAAAATGTGCTATACAGTGTGAAGTGACAGCAGGCAGTGTGGACCCACTCAGAAGGTTGAAAATGAACATAAATAATGTGCTTTTAACCCTAAATACTGGAGTCTGCTTATGTAACTGAACTTAATGTAACGTTACTTGACTCACGAGTCAGGCAAGGTTGTTTTATTTTTAATATTTCCCTCAAAGACGGCAGTGTACGTTGACAACAAGACATTAACATAACTGAACGAGTAGTTAGAAGACCAGCTCTGCGTGGATTTGCTGCAACATGACACTGATGTCGCCCTGGCTCTTCAACAAGACATAATTAGTTAACTACTAACTAGCAATCACTTGATCTCTAGACGGTATCGCTAGCTGAGGTAGCACTTTGTGGGCCGATTGGTAACACTAGCTTAGTATTCACTGACCCAGGAGGCAGTAACGCGAGGTAAGTAGCTGTCACAGTTCGAACAACAACAACAACAACAACCACAACAACAACCACTTAGCCCCGCATGTAAACACACTCACTGTGTCACTTAGGTTAAGTGGGTTAAAGTCTCTTGCTAGCCAGCGAGCTAGCCGCGCTTGTCACATCCATGTTCACGTCACATTTGCAACCCGCTGCTGAAGGAAGGCAGGAAGAGAGAGCGACCGCGCCTTCAAAATAAAGCTCGTTCAACACGCTGTCAAAGCTGTTGCTGCAAACTGTCAACGTGTGTTTGCGAGTGTCACTGTGCTGAACTACCAGAGTGTATTGTATTCACTTTAAATTTTATTTTTTGGTTTGTTTTTCTGAGTCATTTTTTTTTTGGTTTGTTTTTCTGAGTAATTTTTTGTGTTTTTCAGAGCAATTATTTGTTTTTCTGAGTAATTTATTTTTTGTCTGTTTTTCTGAGTAATTATTTCTGTTTTTCTGAGTAATTTATTTTTTGTCTGTTTTTCTGAGTAATTATTTGGTTTGTTTTTCTGAGTAATTTATTTTTTGTCTGTTTTTCTGAGTAATTTTTTTTTGTCTGTTTTTCTGAGTAATTATTTGTTTTTCTGAGTAATTTATTTTTTGTGTTTTTCAGAGTAATTATTTTTGTCTCTTTTTCTGAGTAATTATTTGTTTTTCTGAGTAATTAATTTTTTGTGTTTTTCAGAGTAATTTATTTTTTGTCTGTTTTTCTGAGTAATTATTTGTTTTTCTGAGTAATTTATTTTTTGTGTTTTTCAGAGTAATTTATTTTTTGTCTGTTTTTCTGAGTAATTTTTTGTGTTTTTCAGAGTAATTTATTTTTATGGTTTGTTTTTCGGGGCGATTTTGTTTTCTGTTTTTCAGAGTTTTCAGGTTGGAGGTTCTTGCGGGAGTTTGAAGTATCTCGATAATTCAGAAAAGAATACTCTAAAAAACAGAAACAATTAGTCAGAAAAACAGAAAAAATAATTAGTCAGAAAAACAGGGGAAAAAATACTCCGAAAAACCAACCAAAAAATAAATTACTCAGAAAAACCGGAGTTTTTTTTTTTTTTCAAGTGAATGCAAAACGCTTCCGTACTAAACAACCCATATCGACCAAACATACGCAAGGTCTTAAATACCAACCATCCTTAGTTACTTCGACCGAATTTACTGAAATGTTTTACTTTGGCAGCTGCGACCGGAAGTTCCTCTTCACTTACACCCACTTGACGTTTTGGTCTACGGCCTGTTTTGAAGCTAGTTAGCTTAGCCGCTAGCAAGTTGCAGCAAACACTTCGTCTGCCTCTCCGCTGCTGTAACAACCAGTTGACGCCGCATCCTCGCACTTCTGTAGACGCGTCTGCTCACACGCAGCACTCAACAATAAATCCCAGCTCACAACAGACGACACACGCGGCGTTAAAACACTACTTTCGTTTGCACATTTGCCCCCAAAAACTTGTCAGCAAGGGCTCACGTCGCTTTGGCTCCTGCTAGTGAAGCTGACGTTCGCTAACTAGTGAAAAGCTGCATAGTTTTCTCTTACCTGCTATGCGTCTTAAACCCGTATAGCTATCATGATTGTTATGCAAGACTAGAGAGTAACGATGGTGTGCGGAATAATCAAACACACCATCACATTTCATGAAGGCAGGAACATTTGTGTTTGGCGCCATCTAGTGGTTGACATTGGTTAGTGAGGAACGGCGACCTACTTCTAATGAATGATCTGTATTAATAATAATAATAATAATAATAATAATAATAAGGCCCTAATAGTTTTTTTTTTGCTCTTTGTTATCATTTTTTAAAGTTTTATTTTTAATTAGTCCCTCAAAAATATGTATGGTTAAGCACGGATAATGCATTCTATTAATAACTTGCACAGTGGCTAAATATGATTTGTGGCCATCTGATTGAATCCATGCGGAAATTAAGCACGACCCTATTAGTGGGTTAGAGGCTACATGAAAAATCAGTTTCATGCAGTCATGTCTTTACATGTAATGAGGTGTATTTCCGGATGAAGAGGCTATAAAACTATACGAAAACAACGCTGATTTCCTTATTTTGCTGGGTAATAATGACCATGTAAATTACACAAGTGCCATTGTATGTTTGCCATAATATATTCCTTACAATAAAATAAAAACTCTAACAGCCTTTTCAGTCATCTGCTTAAAAATCTGCATTACTGTGACTTAATAATAGTTTTCCATGCCATTTTTAGACCACCTTCCCTTTATTATGGGATTATTATGGGATTAATTCTTTTATGAAAGGCTGCGTTAAGGCAACAGTAGCTATAAGTACCAGCCCTATAAGAATAACGTAAAATAGCAGTAAAGGGCGGATTAAGTGGAAACGGGTTTAATGCAATAACCATCTGTATTCACCTATTAATCCTTCGATTGACAGTTTAAGTGATGTTGAGGGTCGTGATAAGATGATAGCCTGTCATGCTGAGCCATCTCACACACACACACACACACACACCACACTCTGCTGTGAGGAATACTAATCAACCTGTTTGCCTCCAAGTACAGCAGCTCGGCGCGCAACTTAGGACTTCTCCATTCTGTGTCTAGAAACGTCTCTGCTGGATTTAATTAAAACCTCCACCTGTTTTCTAGTGCAACCTTCTTTGAACGAACCGCGGCTGTTATCACTCCTGTCTCTGTCTCCTCTGATGTGCGACAGGCAGGCGGAGAGAGTGGGTCTGGGGACAGACAGTCTACTCCTCCTGCGCCGCGTCTAGCAAGGGAAGCCCCCCACGCGTTGCGCGCCTGGATCGCCGGTATAAATTCGCGTCTCGGAGTGCGTGTGCATGTGCGTCAGGCTCTTGATGTGTGTGTCCACGCACGCCAAAGCCCCGGGCTCAGTCCTCAACAGTTGCTACCGGAGCGGCGGAGAGGAGAGGTGGAGAGCGAGAGAGATAGCAGACTGAGGACGGACGGACGCGGAGCCCCACGCCGCTCTGCCCGGCTCTGCTCCTGACATGCAGTCGCTCATCTCTCCGGTGACCAAGGCCATCCTAGTTGCACTCTTCATCTTCGCCATACTCCTCATCCTCTATGTGATCCTTTGGTACATTTGCAGAGACGTGGACTGCGACCACGGCATTTGAGGATTCCGTTAAAACGGGAATAACGGGAATTTCACAATGGGGCGCACAGAGGAGCCCGCAGAGCCCAGGGTCATCCCGTAAGTCTGATGTCTTCCCTTTTGTCTCGTCTTTCTTGTTGTGTATGCGTGTTTGTAGGTTATCTGTGTGTGTCTCTCTCTCTCTCTATCTATCTTTTTTTCTGTGTGTGTACACGCGTGCATTCCCGTCGTGCGTAATGTTAAATGCGCTCTGGTTGGAAGGTGATGGCCGAAGTGCGTCTCCACCGGCACCCGGTATCCCAAACCCCTTAATGAGCAGAGCCCCAAATTCCTTTCTGTCCAACTTGACAGCGATCATCTATCAAGGCTGGCTTATGTATTACAGTCCCGGTGCTGTTACTGACAGTGAATCCTCAAAGGTGATACAATGTCATCAGGAAGGATATCGAACTGGTGTCAAACGGAAGACGGTGCGGGCGCGCGTGTGTGGGCTCTAATAGAGAACGAGGACCTCCGGTGACATTGCGGTAAACGGCGTGGGTGTCCCTTAAGGTCAAGAACAACAGTGTTTACACCAGGTTGCCAATATTGTTTTTGTCCCCCTTCATCCTCCTCCCGTATATCTGCAGCATTAGTTCATGTTCAGTTCATCTCGGTCTCCGAGGATGCTTCCACATTGGCATTTTACATCCAACGAGATAACAGGATTATCTCTATTGGCTCCTTTGCGTCTTATTCCTAATCTGCCTTGTGCCATGTTTTGGACTCCTTATCATCAATACCCCACTAATGCTTTTACGCATTGCACATTTATATTCCCCTTGACATCAGTGAGCTTGTTCAACATGCTATGTCCAATCTTAGTTTAGAAAGATGCTCTTATATTTACTTTTTAACACACACGCACACACACGCGCGCGGAGCATCTATTGGCCACGCTTAACGAAGGACTTCTCAATATTGCAGGCACGTTGGCCGCCAATGCCTACATGCTGTCACATGGCCCACAAAGCTATTACACATGTGAGGTATGATTGCCGTTTTTCATCTGGGTCCAAAGCATTTTGTTTTCATCTCCAGCAACCCTCGAACCAGAAGAATTAACACACTGTTTGCAAGTTTAAGTGGATAATGTGAAGGACACGCCAAGGACATGTTGCCTTTTAAGGGTTTTTAGGACATTTAAGCAGGAATACAGTGATGGGGATTCAAACCAAAACACAGTTTTTCATTTGAAGAAAGGAGTTTACTCATAATGTTTGTTTCCTGTGAATCTTTATGATCTAAATTTACATTACACATCTTGATGTAACACAAGGATTGCCTTTTAACAGGGGAAAAGCAGACACACTCCCTGATAAAATATAAAAGATTAGTAATCATTGACTCACTGTAGTTTAGCCACCCTTTTATGAAACGCTACATCACTATTTTTGCCTGTAAATACCAGAGGATTTAAACAGCTAAGCATCTCCCCCACCTTACGAGATAAGTGCAAGTTTAAGCTTAAAAAATTAAAGCCTTCTTATTTTGAGCGATGGGTTCCACACTCTTGTATTTAAAAATCCATAAGAAGCCTAAATGCTGGATGCAGCCATGAGGAAGGAACCCCACAGCCTCTTAAACTGTTGTGTGTACTCTCCCGCAGAGAAAAGGAGGGAGTCTGGTTGGTAGATGCCCTCTTTGACCGGACTACAAAATGATTCCTGTCAGCCGTGAGTAGATATGTGCAAATAGCATGTGTCACCCCTCAACACAAGCACACACGCACAGACACTAAATGACAGTTCAGACTCTATCAGCCCCAGTAATACATAAAAAAAAGATCGAGAGAGAGAGAGAGAGAGAGCTAAAAAGGTATATTACAACTGCTTTAACTGTTGGTGTCTGTCTGTTTAAACCAGTGCCCTGGATTGTCTGTGTGTGTGTGTGCAAGTGTGTGTATGTG